TAGTCCGGTGCTCTAGTCGACAGGTTAGCACGACACGTCAAGACAACGCCGCGCCCATCGCCGCGCGCGGCGGAGCGGCAAATACGGTTCTCTTGCTAGTCTCCCCGATACCTATACTTTCCTGGTTACTGAAATGCAGGTGTACGCTAAAAACGTTGACGCCAAGTATGAACGCACTCCGAGCATTACATCACTCCCACGAATAAATGGAGACTTGTTCTTGCAGAGACGCAGACTCTGTTCTGCTACTCTGCGCTCTGCCCTCTGATTTTTTGGAGGAACTCAGCTATTCTTTTCAGAGCATGCAAAAAGTGTCGCTGACCGATGACTCGACGACCTCTACGTTTTCACTTCCGGACGATTCTGCCGCGATTAACGACGTGGACTGCGTGCTCACTCCACGGAACACTCCTCGACAAGCCAGCTTCATGGCAGCGATGACCCGACAGGAAATTCGTGAACAGGACGACGGTACGTGAACTTCAAAGGTGGAATTTTGGCCTCAATTGGTTTTTGCGGGTACAGTCCAAATCTTGAGGGCAACAAGAGACGTGGGTGCGAATGTGACGAAAGAGATATTGAGACGTATGTGTGGGAGAGTCTGCACGGGACTTTACAGTCATCATGGACATACTCATTTCCTTGTCACCCTCCTCCCACCTCTCCCTCCCGCTTCCAATACGGACAATGGAAGTTCTTGCACACTGAAATATTCAATTATGTTTCTAAGGCCGTTGAGGCTTAAAATTCACGGAAGAAAGGGTGTTTACTGAACTTGGGATCGCGGATTGCGCGCGTGGTGAGCGTGCTGCTTGCCACTACACCACCCCTGTAACAGAAGCACTTTTATTATTACAAATTTTGAATCTATAAGTGCGACTTCTTCAAAACGTTCACTCGACCATTCGATTTATTCTACTTCGAGCGCACTCGATGGACCGGTATTCTGAAGTCCAAAACCAAACCAAGAAGAAACGGCTGCTCCGCATTCCTCTGGTCGCAGTTATTGCGTTGTTCGCCGCTGAGTCATTGGTTGAAGTGGCTTTTTAAAAAGTAAAGTGACCTGATTCCTTCTCCTTTCCTTCACATACCAATACTTAGTAGTGTTACTGTATCCAACGACTTTGCATGTAGGAGGGGGGGGACGTTGGAACCTTTACGCGCTGTTATGTGAAGAAGTAAAATGCTGGCTTCTGTTCTTCTGACTGCGCTTCCCGTTCATAGAACTACTAAGAGGGTTCAGTTATGAGGAAGCAACAAAGGATGTGCGTCTCCGCCTACCAGATTATCGCGAAATGTGTGAGTAAGCTCGCACCCAATGGCTTCAGCGAACGTATGGGAATCTGTGGATTCAATACGCGTAGGGTCGCTCTAGAATCGCAACACTACCTGCGTTCAGTCACCTACTTATTCGCAACTGGGGATGTTATGGACGAGTTCCCATTGTGCCGTGCTTCTTTACTATCACTAGTCAATAACCATTCTCATTCCAAGTAAACGCTTCTCAGGAAATCATAATCGTTACTTCAGTGACGATTGCGAGGGTCAAATCCTGTCCGGAACCCCGTTCACATAGTACCAGACTCGCTTGGGGGTCTGGGGGTGCGAGCACTCACGTTGGCCGCCTTCATACTTCGCTACTCAGGCAACTCTACCGCATGAATGCGTTCAGGGGATGTTCTGTCCTTGGGGGGGATGCTTCAAAATAGCATCCTCCCAGAGAACTCGCTGTTTCTGCGTTACGACCTCCCTTCCCATACTTCAGCTAAATACTTCCTCACCCAATCATGTTTTCGGAGTTTTTCCTCAGAAGAACTGTTGTAGGAAGGGAAGAGGGAAGGGAAGGGGAAAGCACACCTGAAACGGGAGAAACGAGGGTGATCAACAACTAGAAAGGAATTTCTCAAAGGCGAATACGAACTAGCTCCCCTTCCCATCGAACACGACCCCTCCGCTGAGGATTCATAGCGTATGACATGTCCCGTCTGCGTCCTACCGCACTCCACGGTTATTCTTGGTCCGCTGCAAGGGTCGTGGAAAGTTTTATCCTAAATGCAATTGGATTTGCAGTCACAGCGGTCCAGCAGTTATCGGTGGAGCACGGTCTCGTTATTCTCAACCTTGAGTGGGCGTGGCGCATCCAAATCGCGCTGAAACTTCTATTGTCTTCCTACGGCGATGAGGAGCTCTCTCGTGATTGCCGTCAGAGAACCTCCTACAGAACTCCCCGCAAATTTCTTCCGTTCTTTTTTTGCATTCCGTCCTCCCTGCATGAATATTCTGCGAGGGGGGGGGGAAGGCAAATATTCTAAATGTGACCTCATTGGCTGGAGATATCCAATGTGCGACGTGCCCTAACCTTCACATGCTAAATGAATGCGCCAGTCTTACTTTTCGCTCAGTGAGAATTCGGTCTGTAACCGAGTTTGCAACACCTGGTGATCGCGTCTGCGGTCGCGAAGCGGCTAAAGCCCTGCGACGACCCGTACAGTTTTCGTGAACTTCTGAAGCCTTTTAGCGATCACTTGAGCTGCTTTTTGTCCCAGGTTGAGCCCCTCCGATTGGTGTACCTGATCCTAGGAAAGTTTAGAGAGACCGGGTTTTGTTTACCTTTCAGTCGCTGAATTGTTTATGAGCAGTTTTTCACGGCCCAGTGACCCCTCCATTATTTGACATTCGGGCTATCGTGCCAGGGTCACGCGCCCTACCAATCTCCAGTTCAAGAAGTCGCAGTGTGCAGAATCCTAGGTGAGCGACCTTCCCCTATCTCTCCCCATATCAGTGAGAAGGTTTGCCGCCTGTGCCTTAAGCATCAAAATATCCGACTTCCTCAATGCCACCGACCGTTGGGGGCCGGGACAGAAGCTGGTGGTTCCCCGAGGAGTCGTTGTGTCGCCTCGTATCGCATTGGATTGACTCGGCAATTTTTTGCGCGTTGGCATGGCTATTTTTGAGTGGGCGTGGTCAGGCGGCTCCATTTCAATGAACAACCCCCGTGAAATCTTTCAGTTTCAGGCCTCTGTGGCTCAGACAGCTTTCTAAGAAATCAGTTCTTTCAATTTCTCGGCAGAGCCTTCTGAAAGCCCTTCAAATTTGGTCGGTCGAAGGCCTGATAAGACCCACCCCCATTACGAGTACGCACGTTGCCTTTATTCATCTCACTGACGTCATCGGATGTCAGGCACCTTATCGGCCACGAGAATCGGCTGACTCTTTTTGATTCCCGCTCCACTCGGGCTGTCATTCAAGTCTGAAGACCGCCAGCTGCCTGGAAAAACCTCCTCGGTCCACTACGAGCCATTCCACGGCTCGAATCTGCACTTCTCATTGTTGGCCTTATCTTACTCCTACTGGAAGTTTGGGTGGGCTGATTAGAAGGGGGAGGGCATACTGATAAGGGTCAGAAGTTGATCGAGTGGATGTTTGCCCCTATTTTCTCGCAGCCTGCATTTTTTTGAACTTTATTTGGCGCGGATCCCCATTCCCTCCAATAATTCGGAAGGGTGAAATCCGTAACTTTCAGGCAAAACAGCAAAAGTTACTTGTACGTGCACTCACAACCCTGGGGGGGGAGAGGGGAAGCGGGGCAATTGGACTCCTGAAGAGTCACTTCCTGCCAGAGAGTTGGAGAATTTGTGGGCTAATACAATTCTCCTTGAAAATTTTCCCCTGTGTTCCGAGCCCCTTTCTCCATCGCACTTGAAACAGGAAAAACTGAGGAAAGTCGGCAGCCGAGATATTTTCTTAAAGACAACATGCGAATACCCACCCACTGCCTGTCACCCCCCCCCCTCCCTGCCAGCGACTATATACGACCGTCCTAGCCGAGCATCCCCAGCGCGACGTGTCTTGCCTCGGAATAACGTTATACAAATAAAGCACCGTCCTTTGAAATGGTACCCTTGCACTCATCCATGAACTCCTCCCCTTAAAAGCCGATAGCACGATGGCTGGGACGAGCGGAGCCGCACCGTTACTGGTAAGAGGGGTGGCGAAAGGGCTGAGTGGGTCAGCCAAGTGCCCTTGTCAGAATCCCTCGTCTCCATTGCGTGACCCCCCCTAGCTTTCATAAAAAAGTCCTCGAAGAGCCCCTTCAACTCCACCCCCTCCACCCCCGCCTTCTGCAAGCCCGCAAATGTCTCGGTCAGGCGATTACTCGTGGGAGGTAGACTGATCTGATGGCTTAGTTATGTCGTATTTGTGTTTATGCAACAGCTGCATGATTCCCATGGCATTTTAAGCCCCCTTAGCTCCCTTGCATTTAATCCCGACTTTCAGAGAAATCTATTTGTTTTCACTTGTTTGACCCAGAATTCAGGCGCATTAATGGTCATTGCACCAGTTCACCCCCCCCCCACCCCACTTCTCTCGCGCTTTCACAGCTCCTTCACGTGGTGTTATTTTACTTCATGAAGGCCAGCCAGTAGTCTGTGTTAGTACTAGTCCATCGGCGTAATTAGGAGACTAGGGGGGGGGCAGTGTGCACGACAAACTCCGCTCCCCACCCGTGTCAGTGAAAGTGCCTTTCCCGGTGGGTGAGGATGCCATGGACATCGCCCGCACGTATGCCACCGGCACGCAACGGGCGGCATGCAGCAGGCTGCCAAACCATCCCCTCTGGCGCGCCCCAGGCGATCCGGCGGCGATTAGCTATAGCTCTTTTCGCCTTATGAATGCATACCGCGCGTTTCGGGTTTGGTTATCCCATTCCATTTCTATTACAGCCGTTGGAACAGCGAAAAGATTTTGCAGGCGCAGTCGGCGATGGGGGGGGGCATTTTGTACTATTATTGCACCCTTAGTTCCGGTTTACAAGTGTCACTCTGGCGAGACCTATAAACTCTTGTGAGCAAGGTCGGGCAAAGCATATGTTAAAACCTTCGGTCAACTCGAGAGAGCTCTGCCTACATTGGTCACCGTTGATGCGGATAGTAGCCAAAAGCCGCAAAATGCCCCCCCCCCCCCCCACCGGTCGCCGAATAGCGCCGATTTCGCATTTGGAAAGGCCCGAAAATTCCATAAATTAGGGTAAAAGCTGGAAGCTTGCCGAAAGTTCACCGGGAACCCGTCTAGAGACACAAAACGATCTCTTCCTCTACAAATCATCCGGCTTTTTTTAGTTTTTTCCTAAAGGGACCGTTCCGTTCAGTGTTGGTCCCGATGGTGGTCTTTGTCTTCTGGGGTCTTTCCATAGAAATCACCTCTTTTTTGGGAACTCTGTGTGTCTCTCGTCATTTGTCGGATTCTCGGGATTTCTTTGGACAATTATTTTTCCCAAGTCTTCCATTTCCATCATTCCCCTCGTTGAATTTCCACCCATCAGATTTGCATAGCCAGTTATGGTCAGTCATTTTTCAACCACAGCAATCACATGCATACATCTATCGCTTTCCAGTTTTTCCAAGTCTCTCGCTATCTGAAAAAAATTGCTGGCGGAATTGTTTTGACCCCTCCCTCTCCCAGCGCACATACAACGTTC